ATTCGCATTTGAAGTAAGAATCTGCCTTATACGATTCAAATGCGAATCTCTCGGCGAAAAATCATCGTATCGAGATGCATAAAAAAGCATTTTAAAGAGGAGACTCTGTACTTTCGTACGCCTTTGATCCCAATAAGCTACAATTTTTTGTTTATACCGTGCACCGTCGCAAACTCGAACCATTATTTTTCAATTTTGCATGCTCGCGCTTTGTCATCCGCCATTTTCAATAAATTTATTTTGCAACATTGAAATAAATTGATTCTTAAAGTAGAGATTTTTAGCTTCATTTCCATATTTTATAGAACTTTCTATCTTTATTATTTACGAAGTTATCGTCAGTTGAAATTTGATGAATTTTTCCCACATTTTCAGTGTACCGCTTTTTTTTCGGGTGAGTGTATAAGCTTACATTTTAATTTTTTTATTAAGTTGATAATTTATATCATAACAATAAAAATTTGATGCAAATAATTATTTCATAAATATTATTGCAACTTTCCAAAAAATATCTTTATAATTAATATTCAAATTAGATAATTTAACTTTTAATTTAATTGATAATTTTTAAAATAGTATAATTTACATTGTCCATACGAAAAAGATTTGTTACAGTAAACAGCATGCAATCAAAATGTAAAAAATTCATTAAAATAGTACAAAAATCTATAATACATTCCCAGTTTAATCATTTTTATTTTTTAAGACACATTAAATTAGGCAAAGTAAAAATAATATAAATAAACAATATTCTAGCAAAAATAGTTGTCATAATTGTAACCTTTTGATAAAAGAATCATTAATATATCACATATTGCCTTGTATCAATTAAACTATTACCTGTAAATTTTCTGAATTTGCAGTCAAATCCTTTAAAACTTGTGAAATAGCTGATTGAAAATCTGCAGTAACGCTGTCTTTTTCATCTGCCGCATTATTGATTGATGCTTGTCCAAGTTTTTGCAAAGTAGCTTCTAAATCACCATCACCTAATAATAAATTCTCTTGCGATAATACATTTACACTTTTATTTTATGCAATAATATATTAATACTTTACACATTTTAATAGCTCACCATTTTGTAATAAATTTTGCAAATTTTTTTCAAATTGGTCCGCCGTTTGTTTTAGAAAATCTTCTGTCCATTGTTCTCCAAATACTTTAGATGTTTCAATATTATCTGTTTCCTTATGTAAATCCATAGTGCTTGTGGCATTGTCTTTTTCAGTATTTGATACAGATATTTTGTCGAAATCTTTTAATGCATCTAAGAAACAAGATTAAAATTTATGATTAACAATTTATGATGTCATGTATGTTCCAAGTCTAAAAAGTGACATAGCAATATATCATAGCTAAAGATTTTTTTTCAAAAATAAATATTAAAAGCATACGATAAACACAAAAATAAATACTAAAAGAATGACCTAAATTATAAAACATTCTATCTAGTTATATAACTATAAATTATATCTCTTACAAAAACAAATTTAATAAATTTTTAGGTTAGTTTAATTTTCTAAATGTAATAAAGATACTTACTGTCTAATAAATCATTTAACTCTTGATCTTCCGTTTCGTCCTTTGTTTGTTTATTATCAGTCATACTTGTGTAGTGTAATTATTAATGTTAATCGTAATAATTTTATAACCACTTAAATTTTTTCGTACGGATTGCAACAAAGTGTGTATCTTACCAAAGATTATACAAAATAAAAAGAATAGAGCAGAACAAAAAATTCTGTACTTGATTTGTGCACATACAGATTTGTACTTAAAATTAAAAAATATGTAAAGTTGCAAGCTCTGTACTTCACATAATAGGGCGGATTTCATAGACGTTTCTTGAGTTTCATGTCAGGCTTAAACTCGTTCTCAAGCCGCGATCGATTATAGACTACGTTTACAAGTCAACCTTAATCAGGTTTAGTACATCTGTAGTTACGAAACTGGCCAATCACAGTTATTCCTCTGAAAAATAGAATAACTGTGATTGGCCAGTTTCATAACTACGGATGTTATTAAACCCGATTAAGGGTGACGTGTAACGTATAGCGTTTTCGATTATACAGGATTTGAACGACCCAAGATTGGTTAATGACGTCATTGCAACCTCTCCACCAATGAAAGACTTGCATTTATAGTAAAATAGTGATTGATCAACCCTAGATCGTTCAAACCCCGTTTATTCGAAAACGCTAGTAGTCACCAGTGAAGTATGCAAACACAAACATAAAAAGGAAACAAACAATAAAAATTTCCATGAACTAATATATAGCCTGCTACTACGCAAATTAATGACGTAACGTCATATCCTGCTAAAAAAATGTCCATTAGCGTCCTTTTACAAAAAGTAGCATCTCACAATGTTAGCGTTTTCGATTATACAGGATTTGAACGACCCAGGGTTGATCAATCACTATTTTACTATAAATGCAAGTCTTTCATTGGTGGAGAGGTTGCAATGACGTCATTAACCAACCCTGGGTCGTTCAAATCCTGTATAATCGAAAACGCTATGTGATTGGCCTAGTTTATTTTGTCCAATTATCTGTTCAGAGAAATTTGCATAACTGTGTGATACATACATCAGAGAAAAATAAAGAAACATTAAAAATCAAAGAGTAATAATAACATCATCAATATTATTGTTATTTTCATTTGTTATATTTAAGAAAAATAATTAAGCTAAAAATACAACTAAAACGAACAACGTTCTGCCTATCGTGCACACCGCCAGATATGAGACGCAACGTCGAAACTTAATTTTTTTATTGATTTTTCAGAAAATAATTTTTTAAAATAAACGGGTATCATATACCTTTTTATATATACCTTTTACTAGACTAAAACACTTTACTTTTATTTTTTATTAACAAAATTTAATTTAATTTTTAATCTAAATAAAACGTAACGTTTTATCTTTTTTTTTAAATTACGACACGTTGGTATAATATAAGATATATATTAAACTTGTCTTCAAAAAACTGTTTTAGATTTATATCATTATTAGTTGATAAAATATCATTTTTATGTACTCTAAAAATTTTTTCCAATTCAAGAAAAAAGTGAAAGATTTTGTTATTAACATAGATCAATGTATTATTGGGCGCGTTCAGCAGAACAAATCGCTTGGTAACAATCGAACGTGATTGGCTCTTACTTTTAGAACCAACAAATCAACGTTAATAGCGTTTTCGATTATACAGGATTTGAACGACCCAGGGTTGGTTAATGACGTCATTGCAATCTCTCCACCAATGAAAGACTTGCATTTATAGTAAATAGTG